CTTGAACAGGATAAGCTAAATCCTTCTGTTAAAAAATCTGATAATAAAAAAAATGAAAAAGAATCGGAGAAGCCGTCTGTTACCTCCAGAGAAAGCAAGTGATCTATTAATCGTCTACCAAATACTCTATATAAAAACATAAAACACATTATTTAATAAAATAATCCCAGGAACGCATTTTTAATATCTTTTCTGCTTTCTCAAATAGTTTAAAATATATACAGTTTCCTTGATGCAAGATCATTTCTTCTCTTCTTTCTTGTTTTCGTCATTGTTTTCGTCTTTTTTGACTTCTACGTCATCAGGAATTTCAGCAAACTTGAAACGAGGACTTTCATAAGAGGCGTAGAAAGAGAACTCGTTTTGTAAGCCACAGGCGTGAGCGGGAACATGATCGGTCATTCTAGTGCCAGGGTAAAGACGGTGGATAATTTCGTGCATTCTTTCCCCTGTGGAAGCGGTCATACGATACTTCTCGTGGGCCTTATTATCACCGACGAGAGCATCTACAGTCTTGCGGTATTCAGCTTGGCAATATTCTACCAAGTACGGAGGATCAATGAGGATTCTTTGGAATTTACCAAGTAATTCTTGTGGGAAATTTAAGGGCTCATTAAAATCGTAAGGTACAAAGTGGGTAGCCCCGGCCAATAAAAGAAATCGCTTGTCAATTTCGAATAAATAGATGTTTTTTGTGGGAACAGTAGCAGGGTCACGTTTCTTTATGGCAGCATATACTGAAGGGGCACTAATAATCGCAATAAAAGTATCTTCGTCGGCGTCTTCCAAAAGCTCGTCAGCTTGAAAGTTTGCGGTCTCTTCGCTTGTCTGTATTAGTAATACAAAAAGATTCACTGGTTAGTATTAAATATCCCTTCAGGAATTTCAAGATTATATACATACCCAAAATTGTGACAGCTTCCAGTCCTCTTGGAAGAAGTTCATATCCTTCACAGTGAGTCCCTCGTCAGTCTTAGCGGCAAGAGCTTTTTCATCGGCTAACTCCTTGGCGTACTCGGCATCTTCAATCTGCACTTGATCAAATTTGGCTAAGGATTTAATGAAGAGCTTACCAAACTCTTCTTCACGTTGTTGTTTCTCATTTTGAAATTCGAGTAAGGCAGCTAAAGTATCGGCAGGGAGGCTATCGGGGCGGGAAGAAAAAAAATGAGATTTCGGTTAAAATTAAAATTAGTCAAATCATTCAAATCCGATTTCTGAGTTTTGACAGTTTTCAGTTAAAAAAATTTTCTTGAAGAACACTTACACAATAGGTTCGTCGTCAGACATTATGTTTGTTTATATTTTTTGGTGTATTGATAAGAAATCTAAGAGTAAAGTAAAGTAAAAAAAAGCTTTTTGCAAAATCAACATTCAGTAAGTGACGTCATAGCTGATTTCGATCTTGACGCATTTCATTTTGGCTGCGCTACTATCGGTTAAACAAATCTAAAATATTACTATTGGAAACACACCTACCTAATGTATCGACCAAAGGAACCGGGTGATATCTAATAATCTTTGAATTTCAAACGCTCCCCCCTGCTTTGAGTTTGGAGCTTATCATTTTGTAAACTGAATATATCTAAACAAAATGCGGTAGGTAATAATGTTGGTTTGTGTGTCAAGTTTCCCAATATATATTAAACAGAGGAACTCTACAACAAACTTTATATAGTTAACCTATCCCCATAATAATCACCACTCATATAACTCTGGCTTTCCTAAATTAGTTGATGAAAACTTTCAGGTTGCTCTAATGGCTCAGGGAGAAAGAGGCAACAGGTTTGAATAATACTAAAGGCTCGTATTTTTAGAATATATCAAAGCCCGGATTATCACGGCTTAAGCAAAAATTAAATAGTTTCGCCTGAGATAAACTCTTGGTTGAAAGTTATAAACTGTTTATCCCGCTTCTTGAATCATAAATATTTGTTAACCGGGGAAATGTTTTTCCATTTAAAGCTTTACTTTGTAAGTTTTCGGCAGTAAATTAAGACATTCTCAAAAACGGAAGGCTTCACAAAAATGAAATTAGAATAAAAAGATAACATCAGCATGCCATAATAAGAAATATTTCTTTCAGAGTGATTTTGGGCAAGGTATGTTTTCAGGAAGAAAAAAAAAATTGATTCGACCCAGGATCGAACTGGGGACGTTCTGCGTGTTAAGCAGATGCCATGACCAACTAGACCATCGAACCTTTTTTTTAGAAATTACTCAAAAAGGACAGTTTTCAATCTTTGTTTGTTTTTCTTTTTTTTTGAAATTTTACTGGCCCTTATTCATTAAGTTTAGAAATTATATATTTCGCTTCTCTGACTCCACTTTTCCAGGCACCTTGTACACATCCCTGGGATTTCCATACGGTATGCTCGCCCGCAAATCTTATATTATCCCATCCTCGTTGCCAGGCTTCCGCATTAGCAATAGGATCCTCGTTAGTGCCGACTGCGACATACGAGCATCTAGTTAAAGGATCGTTAGACCACGAAGTGTTTTTAATAATCAAAGGTTTTGGTAGTGGTTGTCCTTGGATAATGTTCAATGTTGATAATTGCTCCTCCAGTATCTCAAAAGCGGTGGTGGGGTTCGATTCTAACTTCAGCGTTAAACGTGGTGGAATGAGTAGCATTAGTATTGGCTTTTTGGTGCTTGCAAATAAGTTAAGTACAAATACTGGTGAACCTTGTGTGTTGTTGGCTAAAATGACGAATTGTTGAGTTTCTGGCGGCCAAAACAATCTAGGGAACTCGATAAATACTTTACCCAAATAACCCAAACTACTGCAATCAATTGCCATCTGAATATGTTTCGGTAAGTAAGGATAAAATCTAACGTCATTGCTTTTTAAGACACCAATAGGAATAGTTAGAATAGCATGTTTTGTCGTGAAAACTCTATTATCATCAGTGTGAATATTAACGAATGGGCCTAGTTCGGCACTTTCTGTTTTCTCAACCGAAGCCACGTAAGTTTCAAGGCGAAAATAATGATCTGAGATTTTATTTCGAACATGATTATATATAATGTCATATCCACCAGTTATGATTGCCTCGCCGTCACCGTCACCATCACTGGCAACGGAGCCGTACATGGCGGATTGTTCATCCCAGTCTGTGCCATGCCAAAGTTCACACTCTCGTGCGATCTCCAAAGCTTTAATTTTTTCGGATTCTGTACCATTCAAGTTTTTTATATGAGTTTTCCAAAAGGTTTCCAAAGAGCTATCTGGTATGTTTAAATCGATTTTAAATTGCTGAAGGCTATTAATGATATCAACTGCAAGTAATCGCGAATAATCACCATTGGCAATAAGCCCATTCTTATCGTAGTAGGCTAAGTCACCTGTCTCATTTATTATCTGAATATTTAGGTTATTGGCCAGATCTTTAATGAACTGACCAGATCCTTCATTGCCCGTTCCATGGATCCAGCTAGCTCCTAAATCAATTGGTACATTGAAGGTGGTTCTGTCCGTCACAATTCGACCACCGCATCTGTCGCGCGCCTCTAAAACTAAAATATTAGTTATTTCAGCGTCAATTAAGGTCTGTGCAGCTATTGTTCCAGCTATACCTGCTCCAACTATGACCACATCATATATTGGCTTTATTTTATCCATCATTGTGGCCTGTCAAGTGGAAAGCACTGGGTCTGAGAATTTCATTTGGGAGAAGGCTTGATATAGCCGCATCTAACTCTGATAATATTTTAAAAAATGGTAATTATTATCTGAATTTGTTCTCAGACTTCAAGAGCTTTAAAATATATATATAAGCAAGATGAATTACTTGAACTATGGGTAGATAAACAATTGTATTTGTGGTTTTCTGTTAGTTGAGTTTGATATTTTAAGAGTTTAAAATATAGGTCAGGGTCGAGCTCAAGTTATGTTGATTCTGTGTGGTGATGATAACTGGATCATTATGACTTTTAATGATAAGAACCAAAAAAATTTCCAGCTATCTGTGATAAACTATAAATTAAAACGCCATATAACTGATTTTTCTCTTTTTTTTCAATTTTTTTCGCCAGGTCACGAGGTTTCCACAATCCATTGCAGTTTCAGGTTTTAATTTCCACACAAAAGAATCAACTCTTAAAATGGCTGTTATAGAAAAGTGATGTTTCAAAAAACGAAATGAAGTCCGATTTAATATTCATAGAGTATAATCTGTTAACAGGCATCTATTACATTCTAGCTTTCAGTTGACCAATATCCATAATAAATTCGATATAATGTCACTTATTTAGATATTCTGAGTGATTCATATAGGTAACGCAGACCAATTTTGCTACATTATTATTATTTTTTCTAATTATTTGTATTTAATAATTTGTATTTAAAAAGTCTAAAAGAAACTACCTAAGAGAAAATCAGACTTGCAGTTTGATAAAAAAAGTAAACCCAAAAACTAAGCACCCATGATGGGAGTCGAACCCACAATCTTCAGATTAGAAGTCTAACGCCTTAACCATTGGGCTACACGGGCATTTTATGAAAGGGCGTTAGTTCTGGCGAATAAGTAAGTCAAATACTTTTCAAGAGACTATTTTAATGGAATGTTTGTAACTTTCACGGTATCTAATGAAACACTTAGACTAGAAGTCTTTCTTAAATACCTGTTTTAGTGTATAAAAACATTTTTATATATAATTGACTGATCTTTGGCAGGTCTTTATTGATAATTAATAAAAATTTGAAGTTAACCAAAAAAAGAAAAGAAACAATGGAAAATGGCTGGTTGGATTTGAATAAAAATTTAACAGATTTTTTTTTTTTTTATTATATGAATTAGGTATTATTCAGAATAATGATCCTTATTTTGAGTTTTCTGATTTATGAATTAAAAAGAAAAACATGCTTCGACTATAATTTTCCTTTTTTTGAACGGTATGATAGGCCTTTTAATTATCTTTTCGATATCTAGACTATAGTGGCTTAAAGTCAAAAGGCGACTATATTTATCTCAAATCTTTTGCATTATTATAAGAAAGTCACTGTGGCCGAGTGGTTAAGGCGTTGCCCTGCTATTGACTTTACGGTTGAAGCAGCTTAGGCAATGGGTTTTACCTTCGCAGGTTCGAATCCTGTCTGTGACGAATTTGTTTCTTTTTGCATTCTCTGGTCCTGTCAACTATTGACTAATTTCTCTTTATATATGTACATAATTTTTAATAAGAGCATACATAATTAACACTGTCGATAAGATTTCAAGCTGGGTGAGCCGACAACACATGATTAAGTCAAGAAAAAGACAATTGGCAATTGCTTAAATTCACATCCTGTCCTTTTTGAAGGAGATAAAGAATGAAAGCGACAAGGAGAGAAAAATTAAACATGGGAAGAAAAAAACATGCTTACTGCCATTATATTGAGTTTTATTTTTATTTTAAAAAAAATACAGTTAAGTTTTACAAAAATAGGCTAATGTTGAGCCTTTTATTGGCCAAATTTCAAAAAATGAAGATGCTCGAAATAACTCTTACTTAGCCGAATGGTTTAGTATTGTAATCGAAGGTATTCTGCGCATGCAGTCTGACAGTGTCTTTTGTCTCTATCGCGCTTACCCGCATACAAACGGAATCCTAGGGTTCGAACCCAGCGGGTGGGAAATTCGGTGGTACCCTTCCCCCTGTAATACTGCACGTTATTTAATAAATATTGTGCTTCGGTGCGAGCCGACGGCCACGTGTATGCGTGGAGCAGCGTCATCAGCAAAATAGTCGGAATTCTACTTTAGTAGAGTTCTCGCCATGGGAGTGCGCTGCGGGGGATTGAACCTGGGTTGTTATTTAAACCCATAGTTACTTTAGTGCAATGCGCGATCTGGGTCGCTGTTTCTTGAAACAGTGGTGTAGAACTCGATACCGATCATGAGGCTAAAGACGCTAATGTCTACATGTTTTTTAAAGTTTTTTCAGGGGGACATATTGCCCTGAAGATTTTGGCCATCTTCTAATACTTGTAATCTTATTGGTTTAAATTTCTTGATTACCTTGTGCGAGGTACCTCGACTGGATGACAAGCCTATGAACATACCTAAAAACGAGTAAAACACCCTGACTACTGAAAAAGTATTAGTTGTCCTGTGCTATGACTGAAGAATATTGAAACCTACCTAAACTAAGCACATAAAACCAACTGAATGTAAAAGTCTACAAAGAATTCAACAGTTCGTCACCATAGCCTTTTCATTCTCAATAGACTGAAGAGCTCATTATTAGCTTATCTGAACCTTATTAGATCAGATGACAGAGGTATGGAACACATTCTGGTTACTCCAATTTAGTAGAATGAACCCTCCATAAGCCAGATCGGCATGTATCTATATGTTTGTTTTATTCACCAAAAATTTTCGTTCAATCATATAGAGGTGTAAATAATTCAGTTTTTTTTTTCTTTTAAGAGTCTGATTTACTTGCTTAGGTAGTTATCCACATTCTTATCACCCATCAAATAAGCAAGAAAATAGCATATCAAATAAAACTCAAACTACCCTACAAATAGATAATTTCAAAATAAAAGATGTGGCAAACTCGAAAAAAATCCCTCACCCATCATATGACCATCTTACTTAAAAGAATATTATTTTTTCTGTGTCCTGAGAAAACGAAGGCGAAACACCAATGAGACGCGTCTTTGGGGGTACACACGTAATTTAATCACCCAACGCGCTCCGGCTCAGTTGTCACTAACAACCACCTGACGAGTGTCTTGATTGTTGTATAAGACTAATGAAGTCGCATTTTAATGTCAAAAAAGAATTTATTCGAATCTAGATATATAGAAATTTTTGGGTTCATATCTCAAGGGTTTCTGTTTTGAAATTATAAATGCGTTTTTTGTCTGTTAAGTTTCGGAAGTGGCCATACGGAAGTGCTCCATTAAAGGTAGGTATCCCATTACGCAATTCCCACAAACTCTAAACTGGATTTACGCCAATACTAAATAAACAAATATTCTTTTCATTTAGCCCTTTGATCATGGTTTTTACATACGGGGGTTTTCTCAAACGTCTCTCCAACGAAACTTCGATTCTGTTTCTGGGGCTCCATCCAAACATGGACCAATAGTAAGACCTTTGGAGGATGGCCATTTTCGTCTATGCCTAGAACTACCTGGAAATTCAACTAAAGAAGGATTAATTGAAGAAAAAACTATAGAAGAAGATATTCATGCTAGGCAGCCCATTTATAAGTCCCCTATTAAAAAATGGCTTGACGAAAACCCAGACCGTGGCGAAGAAGCAATGAATGCACCGGAAATAGATTCATTCCTTGATAAATCAAAGAATGTCTTAAGACGAGCGCAAACGGACAATCATGTCTATAGGCATCACAGATTGAAAAATATGCAAAAATTCACAACTAAATACATTAGACCTCACCCTGTGACAGGTCTGTTACCGCTTCAACCTCAACTAGGAAATGCAAATGTTTCCGATTCGTTTAACTCGCTTGAGCCATCATCATCATCACCTTATGATCTTTTTCGAAGTATGAAAAATAGATTGACTGTCACCGATATGACTACGCAGTACTGTGAAGTTCGATCTTTCTATGAGCTATGTGGCTTAAAGAGAACATTTTCAAAACAAGTCGAAGCTGGAACTAAATATCATAAAGAGCTTGAAGATCTGGTTGCTGAAACTATTGATATCAAACAGGAACTTATTGCATCCAAGGAAGATGACTGGTGGCTAAAGTTTCAGCGGATTCAAACAATGCTAGAGGCCCTTATAAGGTTAGGCTCTACAAGAGAAGTTTATGTATTTGCAAAGATTGCTACAGACAAGGTAGTTACTGGTATTATTGATGAACTTCAATTAGTAGATAAGGATGGTAACCAGTTGAGTGATCAAATGTTGAATGATATTGCATTACAATATGAAACCTCGCGGCTATTACGAAACAAAAATAATGAAGAAAGGAATAATAGGCAAATACCAGAGCCTGTCAAATGGTATGTTAAACTAACAGATACTAAGACAAGAGGACGTAAATCCTTTCCCCCCGAATCCCAAAAGCTATCAGCATATCACCAGTTACTTATATATCACAATATTTTCTCATCGATCACGGCTAGTACTGTGGACAATATTAATGATATATTGATAAATAATTTTGGACTTGATACAAAAAAGCCTGTTAGTTCTGATATAACGGCACTGTTATTTGTCGAAACCGGTATTGATTTTTCTGGTGTGAATACTCTTGAAAAAATTGTACAAGAATGCGTTCAGCCGCTATTCAATTTTTTTAACCAAAAAATTTACCATGATGTTGAGGTAGATTACGTCCACACTTTCAAGCAAAAGAATTCACACAAGGCTTCAGAATCTATTGGCCGGATCGTATATCAATTCTCTCAGCTGGATCTCACTAACGTCCTGGATTTTAGACTGGACTTTTGGAACGGGGTCCGAGATCCTATTGGTGTAGGCTACGATGAAATGCAGACAAAATGCACAAATTGCCCATTTAAAGATAATTGCAAATGGAGGCATGATATGGGAAAGAAAATTTTAAAATAGAAAGAAATAGCTTTATAGTGCGATACAATATATTATTTGTAAATATATAACATCACATCACGAACTAAACAATGAGGCTTTTTTAGAGGGTTTGAATGTTGGGAATTCATGCTTCGAGACCTCTCTACGCGCTGTTTTTCGATTTCGTCCTACTTTATGCATCATCGTACTTTAGAAGGTACATTTTTTATTCGGTTCATTAATGGGTGTACTTTATAGATAACCTTCAAAAAAGACGATTCCTGTAGTAGTTTGCTTTTTTAATGGGTAGTGGTAACGAAAGCCTCAAAAGTTTCAACTTCGATTCTATGGAATATGATCAAAATGAAGCCGTAAATGCTCATACAACAATTACGGTAACACCAATATTGGAATCGGAATCGACTTCTATTTCGGAAACAAATAATTCAATAGGTCCACAAGATTTAACATCTGATACTATCGATTCATATCCCAAAAAAATTGCAGCTGCTTTTCCAGAGGCACTTGAATCAAAAGCACCAAAAAAGGAACACACTGAGCTGATTATTCTTGGCGAGAAATTATTATCTGACAGCGATTCAGGAAGCAGTTCGGATTCAGATTCGGAAGATGATTTTTTCAGTTGGTCAAAAATAAGCACAAGTAAACCGGCTTTGAGTGCTGTAAAGAAACAAATAAATAACCCCATAGTGTCCCTAAAAACTGAATCAATTAATGAACGCAACCCCGAAGAGAGAACTGCATCCCCTTTAGACTTGTTCGATGTAAGTGATAGTGAAACAGATAGCGGTGATGAAAGCTCGGAAAATCTGGTTGCTGGTAAATCGAAAAGTGCTTCAAGGGCCCCTGAACGAGAACGCATTAGAATTTCAGTTACTCCACCACCAGCAATTCCGCACACCAAAACAAAAACATCAGACGTTCCCATAATCGAATCCGACCCTTCTGCATTGAAAAGACGCAAATTGAATGTTGGTAATGATGGAAAGCTGGCTGGTAAAGTAGTTTCTGAGTATCAGATCCATAGTGTTGGGCCACAGTCTCCGCGTCAGCCGACGGTTGATAGACAAAGATCGGTATCAGCCTCATTGACTGCAGCCAATTCAGCAGAACCAGAAGATGTTTTTGAATGCGAAGTTAAAGTGATATCACAGATTGATGGGTTTAAAGATATACAACCTATAATTTTTCAAGTGTACTCAACATGCTCAGCAGGGGAGATCCGAAGACGTTTTTTAGACTATCTGGAAGCATTAAAAGGAGCACCCCAATTTAAAGGAAATTCAAAAATTGATTTCAATTCAGTTATCCTAGTATATGGTGATTCACGAGTTTATGACAGAAAAAAACTTTATAAAATAGGTGAAGGAGTTTTAAGCCGAGAAAACTGCCGTATCCATGTGACGGCCACAAGGGAGGAAGTTTTTAAGAAAATCAAGGAGTTGGAAGTAGAGTTTCTGTTAAAGAACAGGAAAATCATGGAAGATAACGATGTTGATGAAGAGGTAAACATTGGTAAGACTATAGTTACAAGAGCATCAAGTGACGCAATCGACACTAGCGAAGTCCGTGATGACGTAGATG